TCTGCCTCTGCCTGGGCTTCTGGCCTCTACTGCAGCGTGTTCTCACCAGCGCGCGACATTCCACCCCTGGCCACCGTCCAGGGGCACAGAGGCCTGAGCAGGAGCCAGGCCAGGGAAAACAACCCGGCGTCCAAGAAGGTCCGTTTCCCAACTGGCCGCACAGGGCAGGGGGACAGAGGAAGGAAGGGAAGACGGAACCCCAGCCTTGAGTCCTCAGGGTCCATCATGGCAATCCTTCCGCCTCCCCCACGCCTTCCCTTTCTGGAAGCCCCGTGAAGCAGGCCTGATCGTGAGCCCCTTTCTACTGATGAGGTACCAAAGTCTCCAAGATGTGTGTGTGTGTGCATGTGTGCGCGCGTGTGTGCATGTGTGCATGTGTGTGTGTGTGCATGTACAAGCTTAAAAAAAAGAAAAAAAGAAGGCACCCAGGTCTTGCCTTGCTGGAGGGTCTGGTCCAGGAAGCCTCTTGGCCTTGACTCCTCTGGGCAGGCTCTGAAAGACCCACCAGGCAAGGATGAGCTATATCTGGGCGGCAGTGCCTCGAGAGGCCACCCCACCCATGTTGCAGGGGCAGCTGCAGAGGCTCAGGGAGGAGGGAAGTTTCCCACAGGCCCACAGCAGCGCATGGCTGAGCTCAGCCAAGAACACGGGGTCGGTGTTTTCTGCCGTCATGCGTTGAGCTCAGTGCCGAGGGACCCCGCTCCGATGAACCGGTCGGGAGGCCTGGCTGAGCTCATGGGCAGTTGGGCGGTGGAGCCCGGACGAAGCTCTGTCCAGATGTGAGAGATTAGTGCTGTGCGCCGTGGAGAGCAGCTCGGGCCAGCCTTCTCCCCGGACGGATTTGGAGCCAAGTGAGATCTCATCACAGACACGTAAAGAACAGTGGGTTTTAGGCCAATGGGAGGAGCATGTCCGTGCTGTTCGTGACTTACAGGGCTGGCCGGGCCCCACTGGCCCCCAGGGTCACAGTGCTTCCTCCTGGCCTGAGCTGGGGGAGGGGAGGGGGAGAGGAGGGGAGGGCCTGGGAGAGGGCAGGCGAGGCTCAGGGGGGAAATTTGGCCAAAGGGCCCTGGGCAGACCTGTGCAGGGTGGGTGTGGACACAGACCCACACTGAGTCAGCCACCTCTTCCCCAACAGCCCTCGCTGCTGGGGGAACAGCTCCTCCCCCCCCCTCCAAGTCTTTCCAGGCTGAGCAGCCCCATTCCTCCAGCTGAGATAAATGAATCCAAATGTGGGTCCCTGCATCCTGGCTCGGCTAGGCCTCCCTGGGGCACATGGCTAGGCCTCCCTGGGGCACACGGCTAGGCCTCCCTGGGGCACACGGCTAGGCCTCCCTGGGGCGTGGCTAGGCCTCCCTGGGGCACACGGCTAGGCCTCCCTGGGGCACACGGCTAGGCCTCCCTGGGGCACACGGCTAGGCCTCCCTGGGGCACACGGCTAGGCCTCCCTGGGGCACACGGCTAGGCCTCCCTGGGGCACAGCACACGGCTAGACCTCCCTGGGGCACACGGCTAGGCCTCCCTGGGGCACACGGCTAGGCCTCCCTGGGGCACACGGCTAGGCCTCCCTGGGGCACATGGCTAGGCCGCCCTGGGGCACACGGCTAGGCCTCCCTGGGGCACATCTAGGCCTCCCTGGGGCACATCTAGGCCTCCCTGGGGCACACGGCTAGGCCTCCCTGGGGCACACGGCTAGGCCTCCCTGGGGCACATCTAGGCCTCCCTGGGGCATGCGGCCCAGATGGAGTACAGCCCTTTAGGTGGGGTCTCAGACCACCCCTCTCTCATCGGGAACATTTCACACCAATGCATGCTGCCCACCGTGGCTTCTGTGTTTTGCTAAAAACCTATCAGACAACTGGCTTTTCTTATGGAAAATTTCATACCATATATACACACATACACACACACACACACACGCACACACACACGCACACACACACACGCACACACACACAAAAAGTAGAGAGAAGAGTGCGGTGAACTCCCATGTTCCCATCACCCAGTTTCAACAATTACTAATCTTGTTTGCTCTATACTCCCACCCATGCCTCCTCCACTCCCAGGCCTGGGTTATTTTGAAATAAATCCAAGGCATCATAGCATTTCATCTGTAAATATTTTAGTGTAGATCTCGAAAAGCATCCCTTTAAAAAAGTAGCCAAAGCTCCATTATAACACACACACCCCCAAAGGCAACAAGAAGCCCATTGTCTTATGAAGAGGCTTTTGTGGGTTCCATCGAGGGAAACAGTGGAGTGGAGAATGTAAGACACAAATTGTTCACCACAAAAGATGCTCAGAGTGGAAGGAAGTTTTGTCCCTGTTGGTGGTCCTGGCCCCCGAGTGGAAGAGCTGGGGTCCAGACGGAGTTGGAACCAGAGAATCTCAGGGGGGCGCTCCGGCAGAGCTCCCAAAGGCCAGCCTGCTGACGGGGGTCAGGAGAAGGCCAGTGCTTGGGGTCCAGTCATTTGCTGACTGTGTGACCTCGAGCCAGTCACTCAACCTCTCACGGTGGCATTCATCACCAGCAAAATGACTTAGCAGCCCCATTCTTAACTCAAGACCTGCCGACTTCTGGCTGTTAAATGTCCCCTTGGACAACCCAACCCACACCAAGGCCTCGCAGTCCCAGGAGCTCTGCACCTGCAGAGACCAGTGCGGTATCCCGGACCCCCCTGATTCGGGGTCCCATCCATGGCCACGCCCGCATATTGTCGCTGCTCTGCCCATACCGCCTGCTCCTGTCTCTCCTCATCGCATCAAGGCCTCCAGTCCCTTAGCCCCTCCATCTCCCAATTGCTCTGCTTGTTGGCCTCTCTCCTTCCCTGTCCAAGCCAGACTCCAGAGCTCACTTCCCCCACCCCTCGCTGGTCAAACCCGCACTTCCTTTGCTCTCTTGCCTTCGTTCTCTCCTCTCGCCACACCACACGCATCCTGCAGACTCCCAGGCTCAGCTCCATCCAGCCACCCCTCTTTGCCGCTCTGCACCAGCCTGCGGGCCGCTGGGGGAGGGCTGGTGCTTGCAGAGTTGCTCCCTGAGGTCGGGCCATCCTGCAGGCCTCCTGCGCTGCCTCCGGGTTTCCTCCCCTCCTTCGGGGACCCCTTCTTCATGCGAGCCCTCTACCCAGTGGCACACGGTCAGTGCTCTCACGGGGCTTCTATTTTAGTGGCTGTTTAACAACCCACTCACAGAATTCCTGAACATTCACCACTGCCTCTCCCCTTCCCGAACCCCACCCGAGTTTCAGCAAATGATTCTCCTCTTACTTTACAAAGCGAGCAGAGGCCATCAGGTGGGAACTCGCTCAACTTTCTGGCCCTCTAAGTAGAACTTTTCACCCATTTTTGCTGCATCCCCTCTCTCTTCCCTCATGGGTTGCCACTACCTGGCATCCGCATCCCCCCCACTTTCCGGATTGCATGACCTCTCTCAAATGCATTCCTTCAGTTCTCCTTTCTTCTTGTTCCTCGGGCTCTAAGCCTGGTGTGTTTCTCTAGTGCGTAAAAAAGCGGAAGGGACAACAACACACTTTCTCTAGACCTGTGATCTGCTCTCCTTCCTTCAGCCAAACTTCCTAAAAACACTTCCCAGGATCTAGGCCCCCCTCTGACCTCTCCTTCCCTTCTCATCCCACCGCAGCCTAAACCCTGCTGGGCCTCCACCAGCCCCGGAATGGGCTGGGCTGGGATCTAGCCGTGACTGTCCTGCTGCTCTGTCTCTCCCTGTTCTTGCTCGGCCTCTGGCTGCCTTAGGTCCCGCTGGCCGCTTCCTCCTCCCTAACGCTCTTTGCTTCTCTTAGTTTCTGGAACAGTATCCTCCCTCCTGAAGGCCGGGTTCTTCCAGGTTCCAGCCACTCTGATGGGCCCAGGCATCTCAGAGCCACCAGCTCTGACACCTGAGCTCGGACCAGGGTCTGAGACTTCCATAGGAGGGTTGGTGGTGCCAAGAGAAACCAAGGAGGAATCAACATTGGGGAGAAAAATGACGAATCAGGGGTTGAACGGGTTGAACCTCAAATCTTCCACTTACCAGCGGTGTGACCTCGGACAGATCATGTCCCCCGTCTGTGCACACATTTCCTGTGTGTATGTTAAGGACGATAACAGCTTGTTGTGGAATTGACTGAGTTAGTACATTTGTTTAGCACTTTGTGTGCATGTAAGCATTCCTGGATGCTGACTGCTCACCAATGTCAATGCTACTACGCAAATATCTCCACTCATTTTCTTTTAAAAAAATATATTTTTATTGACTTCAGAGAGGAAGGGAGGCAGAGAGAGAGATAGAAACATCAATGATGAGAGAGAATCATTGATCGGCTGCCTCCTACACACCCCACACTGGGGATCGAGTCCACAACCCGGGCATGTGCCATGACCGAAATTGACCGTGACCTCCTGGGTCATAGGTCGATGCTCAACCATTGAGCCACACTGGCCGGGCTCTCCACTCATTTTCTTCCTTTCAATTCCTACTATTACTGCCCTCTTGCCTCACTTCTTACCCTGATTACTGCAAAGACAAATCCCTCCAATCCAGTCTCTGTATTTTAAAAATTCATCTGTGGCTATGTGACCCTTCTGTTAAACCCCCAAACAAGCACCATGACTGGTTTGTTAGGGCCTCTGGCCTGGTTTCTGTGACCCACCTCTCCAGTCTCCTCTCCCAGCCACCCTGTACTTCGCAGCCGCTCTAACTGCCAGGGCTTGTGCACTGAGCCATGCTATGCACGCTTCCCTGTCTGCACACGCCATTCTCCCTGGTGAACGCCCTCCCTCCCTTCCTTGTTCAGGCAGCGCCTCCTCGAGGAAGCCCGCCTGGACTGTAGGTGAGCCCCTAGAGAAAAGTGAGTGATGGGGGCAGCCCCTCTCTTGCCCTGACCCCCCACTGAGGCTGCCTTTTCTTCTCTCTGTGACTGTGTTCAGGGCCCACCCCACTGAACCCAGGGCTTTACAGGGAAACGGGGGCCCGCGGTGACAGGACTTGTCTTCCACAGCCGCTGACCCCTCCATCCCCTCCAGAGGAGACCCAGCTCGGAGCACGGGGTGTGACACACACGTGGCTGTCCTCGGCCGCTTGGACATAATAGAGGAGGTAATAAGGGTGACCTGGGAGGACATGCACCTTCGGGACCACCTGTGAGGCTGCTGGCTTTATGGGGCTCGGCCAACCTTGCTTTGGAAAATTAGGGAAATCCAGGCCGTCCTGCTCCCTGCCCTACCCGGGCTGTCGGGCTGGCCAGCTCCCTGCCCTACCCGGGCTGTCAGGCTGACCAGCTCCCTGCCCTACCCGGGCTGTCAGGCTGACCAGCTCCCTGCCCTACCCGGGCTGTCGGGCTGACCAGCTCCCTGCCCTACCCGGGCTGTCGGGCTGACCAGCTCCCTGCCCTACCCGGGCTGTCGGGCTGACCAGCTCCCTGCCCTACCCGGGCTGTCGGGCTGACCAGCTCCCTGCCCTACCCGGGCTGTCGGGCTGACCAGCTCCCTGCCCTACCCGGGCTGTCGGGCTGACCAGCTCCCTGCCCTACCCGGGCTGTCGGGCTGACCAGCTCCCTGCCCTACCCGGGCTGTCGGGCTGACCAGCTCCCTGCCCTACCCGGGCTGTCGGGCTGACCAGCTCCCTGCCCTACCCGGGCTGTCGGGCTGACCAGCTCCCTGCCCTACCCGGGCTGTCGGGCTGACCAGCTCCCTGCCCTACCCGGGCTGTCGGGCTGACCAGCTCCCTGCCCTACCCGGGCTGTCGGGCTGACCAGCTCCCTGCCCTACCCGGGCTGTCGGGCTGACCAGCTCCTGCCCTACCCGGCCTGTCGGGCTGACCAGCTCCCTGCCCTACCCGGGCTGTCGGGCTGACCAGCTCCCTGCCCTACCCGGGCTGTCGGGCTGACCAGCTGCAGGGTACCCTGCCGCCCCTGGGACGCAGCCAGAAATCTCCACAGAATCACCAAGTGAAAAGGTAGAAATTTGATCACTGTGTTTTGTTATGCAGCCAGTTTATAACCTGGGTATACTTTATTTTCAAAAACCTTAGCATTCACATTTATTATAAACTAGAGGCCTGGGTGCATGAAATTCACGCACTCGGGGGTCCCTCAGCCTGGCCTGCACCCTCTCGCAGTCCTAGAGCCCTCAGGGAATGCCCGAATGCCGGCTTAGGCAGGGAGTGGGCCTAAGCCATCAGTTGGACAACCTTAGTGCTGCTGTGGAGGTGAGAGAGGCTCCTGCCACTGATGCTGCGCTCTCCAGCCGTGAGCCCGGCTTAATGAAGCATCTGCCCCCTGGTGGCCAGTGTGCATCATAGCAACCGGTCATTCTGCCATAGAGCCAAAACTGGCTCTCTGACATCCCCCGAGGGGTCCTGGATTGCGAGAAGGCGCAGGCCAGGCTGAAGGACCCCACCGGTGCACAGTCAGGGCTGGGGAGGGGAGGGATACGGGAGGTTGGCCAGCTGGGGAGGGGCTGCAGGAGGGCTCCAGGGCGTGTCCGGCCTGTCTTGCTCAGTCCTGATAGGCCGGGCCCCAGCAGCAAGCTAACCTACCAGTCGGAGCGTCTGCCCCCTGGTGGTCAGTGCATGTCACAGCGAGTGGTTGAATGGCCTTAGCATATCATTAGCATTTTACACTTTGATTCATTGAACGGCCAGCCAGACGACTGGACACTTAGCATATTAGGCTTTTATTATATAGGATACAACAAACCATAGTAATATTATCAGTATAAATAGTACTGTGCTTTTTGTCATCAGTAGAAATCAGGTAATTTCATCCCCTTACAATTGTTTCAAACATCTCAACATATCATTCAGTTTAATCCGTATGTCAAAATTGCAGTAGTTGTTAGACTTTATGGTGGATCGTGTTGTTTAGTGAGGTAATAAAAACAAATTTTTACATCAAAAATTTAATTTTGAGTTCTTGAATAACATGTTAATGAAATTGGGGTCCTTGGAAATACTACATGTTTTATTATTTTTTCAATTAGATCATTTTTCTAAGATGGAGTCTGTAAGTTTCACCAGACTGTTAATGGGATTCATTCATGAAAAAAGTTAACACGGAATAAAGAAAATTTCAAAATCCCAAACTTGTCATTTGGCAGAGTTGCCACCAGGGGGCGAGGCAACCAAAGGAATGTGAGCTCCTGTGATGAAGTCCTCGAAAGAGAAGTGGAATCCTGGTCACTCCAAACCTATGACAGAGAAAAACCCATGCCAAGAGCAGCCCCAGAGAGGGGACCCCTAAGATTTTGTCATCTAGGGAACCCGGAGGCGGGCAGGGCAGAGACTGAACAAGAAGGGCCCAGGTCCCCTGGCAGCCAGTTCTCTCCCCGCTGCACACCAGGTGCTCCTGACGAAGCAGGACTGGGCACCACTCCTGTCCTGTGCTCCTCTGCCTCACCCCACCCCGTTCCCATCTCTCTTGCTTAGACGGTGGAGAAGACGGTGGAGCACCTGGAGGCCGAAGTGAAAGGCCTGCTGAGCCAGCTGGAGGGGCTGGCCTGGAACCTGCCCCCGGGGCCCTTCAGCCCGACCCCCGACCTCCTGGGAGATGGTGAGCGCCTCAGGTGGCAGAGATGGGGCTGGGCAAGCAGGGTGGGATGGGTGCTCTGGTGTAGCCTGGACAGGAGGCCTCCAGCTCCTCCTCCAGACATAAGTGGGCAGGCATTTCCCCAGCTCACCCCAAGTGTTCTCAGCCCCCACCCCGGGTGGCTGCAGGCCAGCGTCCCATCACTGGGACACACTCCTCTGGCCCTCTCATCTCCCTTCCAAGGACCACCCCTGTGCCACCAGGAACCCTTTCAAGAAAGACTGGCATCCCTCTGACAGGGCAGTGGAGGGATTGCACCTGCTCCCTCCTTTCCTTGAGCCCTGTGGTCCCCGGCACAGTTCCCGGGACCCGGGGGCAGGGCAGGGTGCCCTTCAGCACCCCTCACTCTGAGCTGCCCTTTCTTCCAGATCGTTAGTGAGTCGGGAGATGGCGTTGCTCAGCAGCTGGAAGTAATACACCTGCCCGACAGCTCTCCTCTGAGCCTTGCACCTGGCCTTCCTCCCTCAGCTTTGTGCAAATAAAGCTACTCCTCTGACCCCGCTGACAGAGTGGACCCTGCAGCCGCAGCCCTTCTCCACCTACCCCCACGCCCTGAGGCCCACATCCCTCTGGAGGCTTGGGCCAGGGCACCCCCCGCCCGGCTGTGCTTCAGCCCTCCTCCTTTACAAGGCGGGCAGGGCAGGGATGGCTCACAGAGGTGAGGCACCTGAAGCTGAGAATCGTAAGATGACAGCGGAAGGGCCTTTGGGGAGCCTGGCTACTCAAAGTATGGGCTCACCTGGGAGTTTGTCAGAAATGCAGAATTTGGGGCCCCAATCAAGCCTCCTGAATCAGAATTTACATTTTAATGAGATCCACCAGGGGATTTGTGTGCCCATTAAGGTTTTTAAAAAGATTTCTATTGAAGTAAAATTCACATAGCACAAAATTCAAAATTGTAACCATTTTAAACTACAAATTCAGTGACTTCGCAGCGTTGTATAGTCATCGCCACTCTGATTCCAGGACATTTTGATCAGCCCAAAAGCAAGCCCTGTCCCTATGAAGCATCACTTCCCATCTCCCCTCCCCCGTCCGCTGGAAACCACTGACATTCTGTCTCTATGGACTTGCCTGTCCTGGACATTTCCTATAAACAGAATCATACAATATGTGATCTTTTGTGTCTTTTTTTCCCCACTTATCATGTTTTCAAGGTTCATCCATGTTGTAACAGGTGTCAGTCCTTCACTCTCTTTCGTGTGGACGTGTGCTTACTAGGGATGGAATTGCTGATTCAAATAGTAACTGTCTAACGTTTTGAAGAATCACCAAGCGTTTTCGCATCGCAGCTGGGCCATTTCACCTTCCCGCCAGCAATGTTTGTGTAAGAGTTTCAACCCTTCTGCATCCTCGCCATGTCTTTTTGTTACAGCCACCATACTGGGTGTGCGGTGGTATTGCGTGGCTTTAGGGTGCATTTACCTAATACTAGTGATGCTGAGCATCTTCTCATGTGCTTGTTGACTACTTTTATGTGTTTTTGTGTTGTTGTTGTTGTTGTTGTTGTTACTTTTTGCAGCAAAAAGCTTTATTGTTTCATTTGGCCCAATTCATGGGAGAGGGTTTCAGGGTGGTTAAAAGAATGGCTAGTAGTTCCGGGAAGAGGCTCAGGCAAAAGCCAGACTCCAGGGGGATGCAGAGGGGCCCTCAAAGGCCTCTGGGCTCCAAAGGCTCCTAGTCCTGCTTGAGGGTGAGCCTTTCGAAGAGATACTCGCCCAGCCCCGCCTGGGGGTAGCAGCCTGCGGAGGTGAGTCAGGTGCCGCCCATCTTCTAGATGAGTTTCACCTGCTCACCCAGGCAGTAGTTCTCCAGGAAGTCACAGAGCTGAGGTCTGTGCGGGTAGAACCCGGGCCTGCAGCTCCAAAGGGCCTGGTTCGGGTTCTTCTCCAAGGCCACGGCGGCTTCCATGGCGTCCTGAGTGTTACCCACTCATCTGGGGAAGGCCCTGCATGCCCTGGAGGAGAATGCGGCCACCGCGCAGGTTTTGCCTCTTTAAGAGACGCTCAGCGCCCTCGCGCTTCTGTACCAACCGGGGAAGAAGTGCCCACGCCCTCCAGAGCCACATGTCGTGGTCAAAGTAGAAGCCCAGAGAGAGGTAGGTGGGGAGGCCCGCAGGTGCAGGCAGGCCAGCGGTTGACCGCAGCCTGCACCTCGGTGGAATAACTGATGAATCTGGGAGCTCATGGTTGCTCGGCAATGAGTTAAGGTAGAAAAAAACAGCGGTATGTTGGCTGGTCTCAGAGGTGGTTCTGAAGGTGGTGACTGGATAAGACGCAGGAGAGTGGCCGGAGGCTGGAAGAAGGGGCGTCCCTGGGCCTGTTCCATCCAAACACTGTTGAAGCAAGAGACAGATCCAGGACGCCGAGGGCACTGCCTTTATGTGTGTGATTTTAAATGGCTATCCAAGTATTTGCCCATTTTAAAAATTGGATTGCCTTTTGTTGTTAGAATTCTTTATGTGTTGTGGATACTAGGCTTTTATCAGATATGTAATTTGCAAGTATTTCCTCCTATTCTGTGGGTGGTCTTTTTACTTTCTTGATAGTGTTCTTTATCAAAAGTTTTAATTTTGATAAAATCCAATTTGTTGTTGTTGCTTGTGCTTTTGGTGTCATGTTTAAGAATCCAGTGCCAAATCCAAGGTCACGGATGTTGTTTTCTTCTACGATTTTTATAGTTTTAGGTCTTACATTTAGTTCTTTGATCTATTTTGAACTAATTTTTGTTTATGATGTGAGGTAGGGATTCAACTTCATTCCTTTGCTTGGGATACCTAGTTGTCCCAGCACTGTTTGCTGAAGGTAACATTCTTTCCCCATTGAATGGTTCTGGGACCCTTGTCAAAATCAACTGAGCAGAGATGTTTAGGTTGATTTTTCAATTCTATCTCATTGACTTTGTGCCTATCTTTATGCCAATATCATACTATACAAATTACTGTAGATTTGCATTAAGTTTTGAAATTAAGATGTATGGGTTCCCTGACTTTGTTGTTCTTTTCCAATACTGTTCTGGCTATTTGGGGACCAGTCCTTTGTATTACCATAGGAATGTTAGTATCAGTTTATCCATCTCTGCAAAAAGGCAATTGGAATTTGATAGGGATTGGACTGAATCTGTAGATCATCTTGCAGAGTACTGCCATGTCAACAATACTGTCTTCCAACCAATGAGCACAGGATGTTTTATGTTTTTGTATTTTTCAGTGTACAAGCCTTACACCACATTTAAGGGTTAAATTTACCCTTAAATATTTTATTCTTTTTGATATTACTGTAAATGGGATTGTTTTCATTTCATTTTCAGATTTTTCATTGCTAATGTTTAGAAATACAAGGGATTTTTATATGTTCATCATGTATCTTACCCTGCAACTTTGTTGAATTCCTTCATTAACTCTAATAGTTTTAGTGTGGATATTTTAGGATTTTCTATATATACAATTATGTCATCTGTTACTTTCCAATTTAGATGCCTGTTATTTCTTTTTCTTGCCTAATTACCCTGGCTAAAACTTCATTCTTTCATCATGAAGTACATTAACTGTTATTTCAGTTTGATAAATATCCCTTCTATTATTAGTTTCTTGGGTTTTTTAATCATTAAATGTTGTTGGGTTTTCTCAAATGCTTTTTCTGCATGGAGATGATCATGTAGTTATTTCCTGTTAATAATGTGTATTACATTGATTGATTTTTGAATATTGAATGATTTTTGTATTCCTTTGATTTATCCCACTTGGTCATAGTAAATCTTTTAACCTGCTGCTAGATGCAGTTTGTTAGTATTTCATTGAGGATTTTTGCACTTTTCTTGTGATGTCTTTGTCTGGCTTTGGTATCTGCTAACACTGGTCTCAGACTGAATTAGGAAGTGTTACTTCTATATTTTGGAATAGTTTGAGAAAGATTGATGTCACGTCTTTAAACATTTGATAGAATGCATCAGTCTTGACTTTTTCTTTATTGGGAATTTTTTAAATTACGGATTTAATCTCATTATAGGTCTATTCAGATTTTTTATTTCTTCTTGAGTCAGATTTGAGAATTTGTATGTTCCTAAGAATCTTCTATTAGTATTTCCTCTAGGTTAACATATTAGTTGACATACAATTGTTAACAGTATTTTCTTGTAATCCTTTATTTGTATAGAGTTGTTAGTAATATCCCTTTCACTTCTGATTTTAGTAATTGAATCGTCTCTCCCCCATCTAACTAAAGGTTTGTCAATTTTGTTTCATTGAGTCTATTGTTTTTTCTTCTACTCTCTATTTTACCTGCACTCTAATATTTATTTCCTTCCTTTTGGTTGCTTTGGGTTTAGTTTGCTCTTCTTTTTCTAATTCCTTAAAATGGAAAATTAGGTTATTGGTTTGAGATCTTTTTCCTTTTTTTAATGTAGGCATTTACAGTTGTTTCCCTCTGAGCACTGCTTCCACTGCATCCCACCTTTTGGTATATTGTTTTCATTTTCATTAATCTCAAAGTATTTCCTAATTTCTCTTGTAATTTATTCTTTAATCCATTTCGGTTATTTTTTAAGAGTATGTTACTCAGCCCTGGCCGGTTTGGCTCAGTGGGTAGAGTGTCGGCCTGTGGACTGAAGGGTCCCGGGTTCGATTCCGACCAAGGGCACATGCCCGGGTTGCGGGCTCGATCCCCGGTGTGGGGCGTGCAATGATTCTCCTCATCACTGATGTTTCTATCTATCTCTCCCTCTCCCTTCCTCTCTGAAATCAATAAAAATATATTTTTTTAAAAAAGAGTATGTTACTGTTTCCATATATTTCTAAAATTTCCAGATCTCCTCCTGCATATTTCCCATGTGCCCTTGAGAATGTATATTCTATTGTTGGGTGCGCTGTTCGATATGTCTGTTAGGTCTAGGACTAGGTAGTTTGTAGGGTTCAAGTTTTCTGTTTCCCTTCTTCCTTGCCTAATTGTTCTGAGAAAGTGGGATGTTGAAGTCTCCAACTATAATTGTTGAACTATTATTTCCTGTCAGTTTTCTTTCAAACTTTCCTGGGGCTCTTCATTTTCCAAAGGGGCAAGAGGCCCAAAGAGGGGAAGTGACCTTTCCAGGATCACACAGCAAATCAGTGGCTCAGCTGAGATCAGAACAGGGATGCTGATTCCCAGGCCAGTGCTTTTTTTTTTTTTTTACTTCAGGACTAGCTCAGCTCTGATTGTTGGGAAGGAACCAGGTTCAGGGTGGACCCCAGGATTAGGCAAAGGAGAGCTTTCCAAGGAGCCAGGGCTGAGGGTAAGAGCCCCTCGCAGAGTTGGGGGCCTGACTGATTGGATGGATCCTTTGCTGAGAGGGGACCCTGTATATGGCCAGGTCGAGGACTGGCAATGACCCGTCTCTCAGAGGAGCACAGGTGGTAGGTGTGGTGGGTGAAAATGTAAGCTGGTATCTTCCTGGGGAGATGGTTTAGGTTGATTTCTGTTTCTACGTCTGACTCCACGTCATATCAGCCAGGGCAGGAAGAAGCTGACAGTAGAAATAGGGTCAAATCGCAGGCTAGGATTATAACTCCCCATCAAAGTAAGAGAATGGGCATGGTGTGGCCATCCAGCTGTTGCTTGGACCGGGGTATCTGCAGAAGTTCACCTCTCAGACCCTTCTTCCCAAAGCAGGGATTCCAAACACCCTGTCACCTGTACAGATACCCTGTGTGAACACATCGTTCTCAGAAGTTCTCTGTCTCAGTACTTAGATGGGCATCAGAATCTCAAGGCAAGCAGGTAAGATGCAGGTCCGGGCCCCATGCCGGCTCTGAATCTGTGAGGGTGGGGCCCAGGACCTGCATCTGTAACAAGCTCCTCAGATGGTCCTGATGCGCACTCAGGTATTTACTGTCTTTATCTGACTCAGTGTCACAGAAACACATCTCAGACAGACCATCAGTGTTCAAAAGGCTCACGTCTGACAGATAATTCCACACCTCCCTTTGTCTCCGTTGCAGGGACATTGTTTCTGCAGCCTCCTCATACATGAAAGCACTGTCAAATTATTGTGGTTAAGCCGTGACTCGGTTGGGCACCGACCCCTGCACCAAAAGGTTGCCGGTTTGCGATGCAGTCAAGGCACCACGTGTCCAGGTTGC